CCTCTCTCAGTCTAATAATAATAATAATAATAGAACAAATAGTTGGTCTGTTCATGATCTCTCCAGTCGACATCCCGCCAGTCCCTCTCTCAGTCTCTCATCTATTGCTGTTCTGATACGAGACAAGATAATAGCTTAGCGCATCATAGTTTTCCAGGCAACCATGAAACCGTTATTCCTCTCCAATCTCTCTTTATTTTGGTAGCTAGTTTTGTTATGTTTCCCCTTTTCCATGCCATAGGTGTGTAATATTCTTTTCAAGAACTTCATTGCTTAACAAAAGTAATATCTCATAACCTTCCTTTCCAATCGTTTTCAGCGTCTCAGCGGGGATTTTGTCGTCCCGTCGACTTTTGTTACTCTTCATTTTCCTGACAGTAGATGCAATTTCCGACATGGTTATTTTCTCTGTGGTTATGTTCAATTCTTTCTCTGGCTGTACTTCGTTAAAGTTGAATTCATTTGGTTGGGATGGTCTATTCAAAATCTTTTAAAAATGTTCTGCCCATCGATTAAAAAAAAAAATCTTTTATAGTTGTTGCCGTGGTGCCATGATCTTTTCTCTAATGGTCCTTGTGATGACTTTCTAAAGTCTTCAGCTGGACTTTTGGACATCTGTTACAATTATCTCATGTGTTTCTGCTGGCTATCTCTTGAGCTTTAAGGCGTTAACAATAAATAAATAAATAAAATAATTAAATAAATGCGTAAAAGATTAAATAAACAAACAAACATTTAATCAAGTTCTCTCCTTTCTGATCTGGGGGAGGGGGTGGGTTTCACAAAGGCCTAGCCTACATGCTTATAAAATAAATGTACATGCAGAAATACGGACACTTATTATAATTTAATTTATTACTGTGGTTGAATAGAAAGCCAAGAACAGCTCCTGACAGCAGAAACACTCGTCGCATACCGAGGAAACAGGCAAAATACCGCCCCCCCGCCCCCCAATCCTTTCCATACAAAAAAACCCCCTGAACGATTCAAAAAAGAATTCCTTACAGCATACATATTCGTCCTTTACCAAAAAAAACAACAACAAACAAACAAACAAAAACAAAACACAAGAAGAAAAAATAAACAGAAAAACAGTTCCTCACAGCAGAAAAGTTCGTCATTTATCCTGAGTTTGTGTTCTTGCAGTCGTCCACAAGGTCACAGACACACACACACACACACACGCACACACGCACACACGCACACACACACACACATACTCAAATACACACACATACACTCACACATACAAATACACACATACACACACA